TAAAAATATTGTGTGTATATAAAATAATAGTTATTTGTTTTTGGAGGGGGTAGAATCATATCTCTAAAAAGGCAGTCCTGAGAAGCAGTGTTGAAAGAGGCCTGAGAAATTGCCTGAGAGGGAGGCAGTTGTAGCCCTTATTGTTTGTGGGACCAACAGAGGGGCAAGGAGAGACTCTGTTTCCCTGGAAGGCAGAGGAAGCAGATTGAAGACCTTATTTGCTTCCAAGGGCTTATGTCTTCTCCTCCCATGGGTACCAGGGCAAGAACAACCCCTCTTCTCCATCTAGCTGTGATTGGAAGAGGGCCCTGGGAGTCCTTTCCTGTCAATGGGGGCAGCCCTTGTTTAGGAACAGGTCAGTGTTTCAGGGACATGAACAAAGAAGGGTATGGGCAGTGTGGGTGGTGTAGAGAGAGTGGGGGCTGGCCAACCTGACACAGCAAGGGCTTCACTTTCAAGATATACCTGCCACCGTGGAGCAGACTCAAGGGGCCTGCACACTGCTGTCCCTCCATCTACCTGAAAGATTTTTCCAATGAGATTTCTCAGAAAAAGTAAAAAGTGCATATAATTACAAATTCCCACCATACTAAAAGACATAGAGTGAAAAAGTCTCCCTCTCACTCCATGCCCTCATCCCTTTCTCCAGAAGTTACCAGTCTTACCAGGCAGGCTATGTGCATCTTCCCAGAAAGATCAGAGATTTCCCTTGAAAATGTTCTATTTTTTCTTTTGGATTAGCTTGAGTCTTAACTTTAGTGACTCCTCTTTTCTGACCTCAAGTTCAACCATGCAAAAGTAGAGAAAATGGTATAATGAGCCTCCATGTACCCACTAACCAGCTTCAATAATTTTCAACATTTGGCCAATGTTATTTTTATCTAACCTTGTAATTGTGTGGAGGAGGAAAAATTGCAGGCATCATGACATTTCATCTATACATATTTTTCAGGATCTCTAACTGATAAAGACCCTTTAAAAACATAATCATCATGCTATTATCATACTTAACAAATACAACAAAGTCCTTAGTATCATCTAATCCTCACTGGCTGATTCTGAATCCCACTGATCTACAAACTGCCTGCAACTTACCCTGCCTGGATTTCTAATATGGACATCTGGCTTAGTCTGAGAAGTACAGAAGGTTGGAGACTTGGACCATAGCAGCCTAAGGTCTTTCCATCCTCCCCCTGGCTGTTCTTGCTGTTTGAACACCCTTTTGGAGCAGAACAATCTTCTGGGCAACTTCCAGGAATGAGAGTCTGGAGAGAGGCATTCTCTAGAGATGCCTCTGTCTTCTACTTGCAGGATGGCATTTGGAAAGCTTTCTCTGTACTGCATCAGTAAAAGGGAACAGATACCATTGGTTCTTAGCAATTAGGTGAGTATTTGACAGCCAAGGATAGTAGTAGTATATTTGCTGCACTCAGAGATCATATCAAACATGCAGTCTCTTTGCAGGGACCACTGTGCCAAAGCCGGCTAAGTTTTTGTGTTGGTAGAGGTGGGTTATATGGATAATTGATTTCTCCATTTGCTAGTAGCTATTTGGGACCCCGCCCCCAGGCACTCCTGAGTTTATTCATCTGATTATTTTGGCTTCCAGACTACCTTTCACTCCATCCCCAAGCCATCAGCATCTCCACAATCCACAATCAATACATCCCCTGCTCTCATTCATTCTTGCACTAATCCCTGAATCTTCAGGAGGGGAAGAATTCTCTCCTTTCCCCCCTCACTCCATGCCAGCTCAAAGTATGTGACATTTCTGGCCTTCAGCCCACAGTTCTGTTGGCCAAAAAGTCATGGCCAAGCCAATCGGCATGAAGTTGGGTGTGGAAAGTTCTAGTCACAAGTACATAGGACATAATATATTGCCTGCTAACAAGCCAGACTTCTGTGCCAGGGCTAGAAAGGCTGTAAGAAGCAGCCACTTGCCTTCCTAAATTTTGTCTGGAAGAACATTATCTTGGGAGAGGAGAAGCAGAGCCTCAGCTCCAGAAGCCTAAATGATAGCAGGTAACCCCAGATTTTCACTGGAATTCTGCCTTCTCTGTTCCTCTTTACAGTCTTTTCTGTGGACATGGTGGGAGATATGGACTGCCACATTGGGCACTTGAGCCCTTGCTTAGTTTCCTGGGAGAAATTCACTGGCCTTTGCTTTCATTGGAATGCTTTTCAGTGTTCAATCTATTCAATGTACTAAATAAAACCCACTTGCCCAGTGGCCTTTAAGAATCTGGTACGATGGGATCACTCCACAGAGAGTGGAAGTAATATCAAAGTATTTTGGAATTATTTGCAAGAAAGATGCACAACCAAAGCAAGTTATGATTGATGGGGCTCAGATCCTCTGAGATACCATCAGAATTTCATGAAACAAACTGTTTACTAGTTTCATACAATCCTGCATTGTTCCCCACAAGCACCCAGTGCAGACAGCAGGCTGCTACCAAAAAGGCTGGCAGTGCCCTCTTGAGGAATCCCTGGGCACTGCCAGGGACCCAGCGGGACTTGAGAACTTTTGCCAGGAACCAATAGAAGCAGAACTGAAGAAATAGGTGGGAGTAGGTAGGTAAAAAAAACAAAAACAAAAACAAAACCTTGGGAACTTGGAAAGAAACCCTATAAAGTCTGTGGGGGAAGGCTCAAGAGACAGGTGCTAAAGCACAGTGTCAAGACATACGGAGTGACTACAACATACTAGATCCTAGGGAGCTGGAACCTTAAGGCACTGGGTACTGTGAGCATGACCAGGCTGAGCCCCTTTCCCATCCTTGGACCTAAAAACAAGGTGGAGACAGGAAGACATAGTCCATCAAAGAGTGTGGAGAGAGAAAAAGAGAGAGAGACAGGCAGTCAAACAGCAGAGATGGAGAGATTAAGACTTGGGGAAAGGACAGAATGCTAAAGTAAAGTGCTAGAGATGAAGGAAAAGAGAAGAAAAATGTGGTTGAAAAATTGATGTTTGTGAGTTTACTGGGAACAAATCTTTTCTTCCAAGTAGCCTAACATTCCCCAGAGCTGCTGCTGAAAGTTCAAGGGCAGATTTGTAAGGAGGCTCAGCCTGAGCAATTTCCCCTGCATGCAGAGCTGTCTTTTCTATCTGAGCCATGAAAAACCATCTCTCTCATTGCCTAAATCAGAATCCCAAAGTTTGGACTCAGTTCCTTCTGCCATCTGAGGAGCTGAGGGCACACATCTGGTGACTTCTTGCTTTTGGTCCTCCCTCTCTTCCAAGGCTATTCTGATAATGATCATCCAGAAGTTAATTGTTGGCAAAATCCTACAACCCAGCTTCCTCAACAGGCAGAGTCTATGACTGGAGAGCAGGTATAGCGAGGTCAGGGGTCCTGGGAGCTTCTACCATCAGTCATGTGGTCTTATTCTAGTCTGATCTACAAAACTGCCACTATATACTTCTGCAAAAGAGGCATTTCCAAGGACCCTTTCTCTTTGCGGTGGGATTCAGGACCTGGGTGAAGCCACAGGGGCATCTATAGAAGACTCAACCACTTCCTAATAGCAATGCCCAAGCCAAAAACATGGTCCAAGGTCACAGCCCAAAGAGAAAACTGTAAGATTCAATCTTGCCTCTCTCCCCTCCCCAGGATGATTGTAGGCTCTGTTCAGTATCTCCTTCTTCTCCTCTCTATCCCCAAGGCAAAGCTATAGGGAAATTTTGATGGTGATGAGGAAGGGGTCATATCTTCTTCCCCAGAGTCTTCCAACAAATACTCCTTAAATTATATGCCAACCAGTTTCCTTATAGGCTACCTGTGGGAGAATATGGCCCTCAGGATCAGGAGAATGGTGTTCCTCTGAGGCACCTGAAGGGAAGGGAACTCAAACAAGGAGCCTACATAGACACTGGTTAAGATTCACCTCTTCTAGAAAACCTTCCCTGGCTAATCCCACCTAATATTAGGCACTCAAATATCTTCACAGTCTTTAGAAACATGTATTATTGTCAGGGCAGATTTCATATATTGTTCCCCTGTTTTTGCTTCTTTGGCCATTTTTTTCTTAGTGTTTTTTTTTTCTCTGAGGCAAGCACTTTAATTCTTTTCCCCTTCTCTCCACCTTCATTGACAGCTGCTGCCTCACCCCAACTTGCTCTCTGCCTCTCACCAGCCTGGCCTTAGCTCTTTTATGACACTACAGTCTCAGGATGGGATATTGACTACCTGATTCCCAGATTGTGTTAGTGATTTGTCTCAAAGTCAATTAACCTCCTTGGAAATCACCCACATCCCTAAATGACCTCTTTACTTTATTCTGTGAACATGCATAGGTCTTGTCTTCTCTCTGGGTTTCTGTTATTCTATCTATACAATTTTTACAATTATAGCCTCCCCCAGCGTGGTCAAAATCTGTTTATGGAATCAACAGCTTGTGTTTTGTCCTCATTCAGTTGAAACCAAGAAAGATTTGGAAGGAATTATTTTAAAAGACAATTTTTTTCTTCTCTATTGTGATTCTATTGCTGGGTAGGGTGAGGGATGCTTCTTTCCCAAGAAGTAGGGAGAGGAGAAATGTGGACAGGGCCAAGAGAAGCTAAGAGTGAGGGGTGGGGTTGGGGCAGAGTTGGAAGGACTCTGGGAATAACAGCTAGGTTTCTGACCCTGACCCTCTGGCCAGGGCTACGACTTCCATGGCTTCTGACACTTGTGCTGTCATATCCCATACCAAATAGACCCAAGCATCAGTTGGAGGCTTCCAAGACCTCTTTTTTATTTTTACTCCAAACCACATTTCCAGATGTCTCTGCAGCAAAGTGAAATTCCACACAGACAAGGCTTAGAGAAAAGGAGAAAAACAGAAAATGAAACAATTTTCAGTTAAAAGCAGAAAAAGAAGATGAAGCCCTTAGAGAAGGGAGTATCCCTAAGGAGGTGGGGACAAGGGGAGGAGAAGGGGAGGAGGAGAGGAGGAGGAAAGCAGGCCTGTCTCTTTAAGGGGGTTGGCTGTCAATCAGAAAGCCCTTTTCATTGCAGGAGAAGAGGACAAAGATACTCAGAGAGAAAAAGTAGAGGACCGAAGAAGGAGACTGGAGAGACCAGGATCCTTCCAGCTGAACAAAGTCAGCCGCAAAGCAGACTAGCCAGCTGGCTACAATTGGAGTCAGAGTTCCAAAGATATGGGTGAGTTTCAAAGACTTTAGCATGGAAGATTCAAACAGGCACAGAAATTTGCAAGAGAATTTCCAACTCTAGGGCTTGGGGTTTCCAATGGTTTCAATGAGTTGTGTTTTTGGCACTTGTTTTGTTTAATTCTTTAGCACTCAATTAGGTTAACCCTTTCTCTGCTGTACTGAGAATGTAGCTTTATTGCCAAAGAACTCCAGCAGCACGTGGAGAGTACCATAGGTCCTTGGAGAGAGTGCCCAGAGGGTTGGATGTGGTCATGTGTCCTCCTACCCCCTCACTTCTCTCTACCTTCTCTTTTCCCCTGTTCTCAGGCCCTGATAATGGCTAGGTCAGCTGACAACCCTGGTTCTTCTGGAGACAAATGAGTGTTGGCTAGCCCTCAGATGTATAAAATAACTGCTTGCTTGATAAAAAATTTGGACCCTGTTTAGCATCAGAAGGAAATTGGGGAATTGGGCAAGATGGAACTCAGGCTTGGCTATGGGTGAGAAGGCCAATCTCAGGTCCAGGAAATGAAAATAAAGGCCTGCCTCAGTGGCTTTACCATGGGGAGTCAATATGGGTAGCATATGTGTACGTGCATGCAAACGCACACATACATATATGGGTGACCATATCTATCAAAAATCACAGACTTAGCCTTTCAAAGGACATGATTCAGACTCTAAATTCCTCCTATGACAAGGAAGCTGCTGGGACATTAGCACTCTTACTGACTTGGTTGAGTACTGAAGGCTTCTCCAGGTTCTATGAACAAAGACAGAAGCTATAAGGTCTGGTCTTTGGTAGCGTCTACTTAGAGTAAGATATACAGAGCACAAGGATCTTTATCCACACAGGATGCCATGGAGACATGTAGACAACACTCACATTTGGCAAAAGAAGAATAGCAGCTTGAATGCATCCTAAATGAAGTGAGAATTAATTGTCCTATGTATTCACCATCATATGTAGTACCCAGAAAACTCCAGCAACATCCATGGAGAAAGGTTTTTGATTATATTAAGCTGGTGTCAGCCTTTAGGTTGTTTCATCCTGAGGGAGATCTTTGAAGCATGTGTTTTGCATGGAAAATTAAGAGAGGAGGGCACTGGATTAGAATCAACACAACCAGGTTCAAATCCCAGATCTGCCACTTATGAACTTCATGACCTTGGGTAGGTCACAGTGAATTATCACTTTATCATATGGAAAACGGGGATAAAAATAATTGCTTTGTCTACTTTCAGGGTTGTAAAAATCAAGTAATAATGATGTGGATGTAAAAATGGGAAACCTCTATAACAATTTTAGATAATGATAATACCAATCATTATACAATAACACATGTATAAGCTGACTCTTACTCTTTCCAAAGTGGTTTGGGCTTTCTTTGTGTATATTTTGTGCACTTGGGTAAAAATCATTTGACCGAGTGTGGCCAGGTGAGAGGTGAATGTTAGAGGAACTAAGTTCCTACGCTTGGTGACATCAGGAACCCTATGTAATGTCAGGGCAGCTGATTAAGTAGATTGTGAATTTAAAAAAATGGAGAGGGAGTAGAGAACGATGCTAAATATTACTTCCTCAGGGGATGAAAGCTGTGAGGAAAAGGCAGGAACAAATGAGGTGACCACAGGGACAGTTCCCTGTTATGGAGGCTGGATGATTGCTTCCAGGGGAATCTCCAAGGGAGATTGCCACAGATAAGGGCACAGTTGAGATTGTATATTGGATCCCAGATTTTGGAGGTGGACAATTTTTGGGCCAGGTGCACATGACAGTGTAGTCATTGAGTTTTCAATTATTTGGTAACAAAGTATCTTAAGTACTTTGTAAATAATAGAACATATCTAACAAGGAGTACACTCCAAACCTGGAGCACATGGCTGTTTAACGATTGTAGTAGGCAAATTATATCATGGAATCTGGGATTGGAAGGAACTTTAGAAGCTGCCTCAGCCAATTCTCAAGGCAAAATTCTTTTCTATAGCAGCCAATTAAATGTTGCTATGGCCTCTCCTTAATTACCCCCAGAAACAGAGAGCTCACTACCTCAACCACATAGAATCCTGTAGGATGGGAAGCAGAGAGGAACACTGAATTCAGTATTGTCTATATAAAAGGTTTATGGGGGAAATGATAATTCATTAAACCTTGTCCTGACTTGGGAAGAGGATGTTCCAAATGAGCGTTTGGGATAACAATGGAACTGAAAAAGAGTTAAAGAGCAGTATCTGATTATTCTCTGCTCAGTAACACAATGCCATTACTGAACAGCAAAACATTGGATCCTGCAAGCCTGTTGTCTGAGAACAGTGGCTGTTACCCTGGTAACCAGACTGTGATGCTTCCCTCTAAAGGTGGCTATTTGCTGAGCAGTGTAGTTTTGTCTGGTATGGACTAAGTGAGGGTAGCCCAGAAAAGAAAGAAGTGTGGATACAAAGCAGGGGTCCAGTTTTACAAAATTTTGGCAGACTAACTGAATCCCACCAGGATGGCAAGAATGCCACAAGAATGCCAAGAGCAGAAAATGCCACAAGAATACCAGATCCAAAACAGCATACTCACTCTTCCTAGAGACAATGACTAAAATGATTTTGACAGCCTTCCCCACCCCATTCCCCACCTTGGCCCTGCAGAGCCAGAGAAACTCTTAGAGAGCCAGGCAGACTGAAATGCCTGCTCTGCTTAGAGGAGCTTTTGCCCTGGCTCTGGGCTATGAAACCTGGAAGTTTACTCAAGAGCTTGATTACTAGAACTACTCTGTCAAAACTATGTGAGTAGTAATAAGGTCTAAGAACCCCTGAGAGATGGGTGGGAAGGGACATATAGTGTTTAAATCCATCAAAGCACTGGCACCCAGCCAGTGGCATCTTTTTCCCTCGTTGCCTTTTTGTGTGTTATATTGAAGCCCTGAAAACCATCCCCAAGGTGTAGTTTTTGGTCTTTAAAGAAAGCAACTGTAGAAATGCCCTCCTTGCCTACAGAACTTCAGATCTAGAGAAGATCAAGTCAGGGCAGTGGCACGATCAGATAAGGTCACGTCAGCATGGAAGGGAAACAGAGTAGGTTTTCCTTTCTTTCCCATTGTTAGGGCCTCCCGAGTGCCAAACTTACCTCAAACACTCTGCAAGTACTGATTAATTAATTCCTCCTTGGTTATTTGAAAATGGTCCTAAGAGTGATCTCAGCTCTGTACTTGCCTCTGAGCTCTCTGCTAGGCAGAGCTCTGGAAAAGAATCAGTGACATCCCAAGGAAGAGAACAAGGTTTCCCAGATCAGCTTCACACTGCAAACAAGGAGAGAGAAGGAAATGGTAAGAGAGTGACCTAAGGAAGAAGGTATAGAAAATATTGTCTCTTAGCTTATTGTCAGGTGCTTCTCTTTTACCTCTGCATAATTGGGCAAGATAAAGACAATATGTCAGGGATAGAGTTTAATAATCAAGGTTCTATTCAAACCTCTCCATGTTTGGGTATATATTGGCATCTGTGTGTGTGTGTGTGTGTGTGTGTGTGTTTGGGGTGAAGTGGGGAGTATAGGAAACAAGTTGGCCCAAATGCTGTTGTTATAGTAATAATAATATCAGTACAACGAATAGGCTGAGATTCCTTTTCATTTAAATTTATCCATAGGACTTGACTATCCATCAGGCTTGGATTCCCATGTCCTAGTGGCTGCAGGGCCCCTTTCCACCACTTGAATGTGGTATAAGTGCTGATTTCACAGAGAGGACAATATTACAGGCAGGGCTTTGTCTGACCAGAATAAGGCCAGAAGCAAAAGTCTTTGTCTCTGGTACCTCCTGATGATTGTTGTTTTACTCCTAGAACCCACCCACTGATCCCCATCTATCCCCAGTACCAGTCACGGTTGCTTTAGCATCTTGGCCCTGTCAACTGGTATAGGCCCCAATCAAGGAGGCCTCTGTTCATGGAGTGAGGTTAAGGGGTGGATTCTGGGAGGAGGGTAAGACTGTAGTGCAGATTAGAGACTTAGGGAGATGGGGCCAGTTTTTCACTCAATGAGCCTGCCTGTTGTTTAGCTCTATTGTATAGGGTTCTTCTATCTCATCCTTTGTCAGCTGGATTCAAGGGACAGGCTGGGAATTGTGCAAGGCACAATTAGTCTCTTTCTACCATCTCTTTTGATGAAAGCCCTTCCTCTCCTCCCTTTGATAAGTTCCCAGATTCACACTGAATTTCCATCATGGAGCTGGTCCTTAAGGCATTCCCAGGGCATGGGAAAGGAGGGAGGGCTTGAGAGCTCTTGGCTCCTGCTTAAAGAGACAGCATCAGGATCAACATAGTGCCTTGGATGGACAGGGATCTGGATAAGACTAACAATGGTCCTGTTGATCTTTGTCAGATTTCTGTGAAGAGCATTGGTCAGAAGGGCTTGAAGTTCTTTTTTTTTTTTTTTTAGGGCTTGAAGTTCTATCACAAATTGATTAGACTCATTTTGGAAGTGTGCAGATGAATCTAGCCAACACTGAGTATTTCCCCTTTGCTTACTTTTGCCCACAGGACTTGGTCATATATATATATTTTGGTCATATACATTTTAACATAAGTTATAGGTAGCTTTGGTTGGTCTTTGATTCACAGACATAAGTTTGTTCTCCCCAACAAGACTGAAAGGTCATTGAAGAAAGGAATTTGGCATTATAATTCCCTTTTGTTTCTCATAGTGCCCAGCTTACTACAAATATGCTTAATAATTGTACTGAGTCAGGGGCACCTGGGTGGCTCAGTGGTTGAGCATCTGCCTTTGGCTCAGATCGTGATCCCAGGGTCCTGGGATTGAGTCCCACATTGGGTTCCCCACAAGGAGCCTGCTTCTCCCTCGGCCTATGTCTCTGCCTCTCTCTCTGTGTCACTCATGAATAAATAAATAAAATCTCAAAAAAATAATTGCACTGAATCCACATCAAAATAAATGAAAGGAAAACACTGGAAAGGGTTATTATTTTTCTCTATGACCTCTCATCCAAGTCAGGCAGTTTAATCCAATTGAATTGCATTGGGTAATATTATTACTATGTAGTTCTTTCATGCCAACTCTACCATGTGACTATTGTACTTAGCCTGGAAATGTGAGCATGTCTCTTGAAAGAGCCAAAGAAGTCCACTATTCCTCACAGCCTTCCTGAATCAGACCAATACCCTTTCAACCATGAAGGGTGCTGAAATGGAGAGTTTGTATCTTTAAGCTATGGTTCACACATTCTCAAGGACATTTCTTGGGCTGTGAAAAATCAAAGTGGGCCCAATGGACTTTTCTCAGAATGTTTTAATTGTCAACTACTTTGATGAAGACACTGTTTTTTATAAATTTATTTTTTATTGGTGTTCAATTTGCCAACATATAGAATAACACCAAGACACTTTTTTTTCATGTTCTGAGGTTTTCCCAGTTGGAATTCAAAAGTTGATTTTTTGCTTAGTCAGACTGACAGATTCTTCACTTCTGCTGAATTTAAATACCCCCCAGAACCAACATTTCATTTATGAAGAGATATACATGTAATGTGTATACTGATATTGAACTATGTAGAGCTCCAGAATGATTTATCCGGGGCCATTTATTTTCAACTCCATGTTAAAGACTCATTAAAACCTATGTCTTTCTTGTCCCTTGCTTTGAGTGGCAGTGCAGCAGAAAGGGGTACTAAATTATTTGAGGCCTAAGAAAATAGAGTAAAAATGCATGTAAAAAGAAAACATATCAGTTGATAATCCAGAGTTGCTTCCAAGGCCTAGCCCTTTATCACCCAGTAAGGACACTACATATGACACTCTCTAGTTATTTGGATGATGATCAAGGGATCAGATACACTAAAGAGGATTTTTCCTTATCTTTACAACCCTGGAGAGGACATCAGCTAAAACTTATAGTGGAATTCCCTGTTTGGCTAGCAAGAGTTCAAGTTCCTTCATCCCTGATCACACCTGAGCCATTTAGCTCTTCCCAGGGTGAAAAAGCTGGGGTAAGTGGCACAGGACGGTCACTTGCTAGGATGGATGGCTGTCCTTACTCTGGGCTAAATAAACAGTTCTGCCATTGTTCCCTGGGTCTGACCCCCTCCCCACCCCCAGGCCTGCAGGCCCCTGCAGAATACCAATGAGGCTCCTGGGATCTCAGGGAAAAACAAGCCTTCTTTGTGCAGCAGAGCTATGGAGGTCTCTGACCAAGCCCTGACCCTGTGCTGGGGAGAGAGGGAACAGAGGGGTCACTGACCTTCTCCTCCCCCCACCCTCAGGCTTCAGAAACCTTCTTTACTAGAAGACTTTAAGAGTTTGGGGGTAGGGAAAAGTTGGATAGACAGAGTAGGAAAATGGCAGCACTGTTTATTTCCAAGCTCCTTTTAACTTACAGGATGCATCTCATATCTTAACCTGTGAGAAAGAGGAAGATCAATTTCTGGAATGTTTCCTGAGAACAATAATCAATTTCAACTGCTGTGTTTTTCCTTCTAGTATATACATGTGTGCATGTACACATTTGCATGCTTGCATGTATGCGCATGCATACACACATACACACACACTATGCACTGTGGACCAGCTCTGATGAAGCACCCTTACTAAGCACTAGTGCAAAGTTCATACTAAGTAAACTCTGCCTCCCCTACAGCAGCATAGCTACAAATGGATTACTTTCCATAGAGGGCAAATTATCTGACAGCAGTTCTTCAGTTCTTGGAAAAGGATGAAAATTCAGTTCTGCTGCAAATATTAGCTATTTACTCTGCTTGCCTTGGGCTTCTGAACCCCATGTCTGGTGTCACATACCAGAATCCTTGAGCAAGAGGCTCTTTGAGGACCAAAGAAGGGCTTGTCATTTTAGGGGATGATGGGTAATAGAATTCAGTCATTCTGTGACTCTGAAAACAGTGATGAATGCTTCTACCTCAACTTTTCCTTCGTAGAGATACTCTGGCCCTTCAAGATCTGTTCACATTGCATCAGCCACACAAATCAACAGATGTTTAAGCACACAGGGCTAAAAAGAAACTGTACTGGTATTAAGAGGGTCAGGCAAAGGACTCCCCTAGTCTTTGCTACTGTGGCATGGACAAGTGAGCTTTGGATAAAAATTCAAACCTAGAAATTAGTACAGTTTGCTTTCTTTTTATAAAGAGTTCCAACATGCTTTTCCAAATGCAACTTTTCAATAGCCACACTGTGGAAGGAGCCTCGGTGTCCATCGAAAGATGAATGGATAAAAAAGATGTGGTTTATGTATACAATGGAATATTACTCAGCCATTAGAAATGACAAATACCCACCATTTGGTTCGATGTGGATGGAACTGAAGGGTATTATGCTGAGTGAAATATGACAATCGGAGAAGGACAAACATTATATGGTCTCATTCATTTGGGGAATATAAAAAATAGTGAAAGGGAATAAAGGGGAAAGGAGAAAAAAATAAGTGGGATATATCAGGAAGGGAGACAGAACATCAAAGACTCCTAACTCTGGGAAACGAACTAGGGGTGGTGGAAGGGGAGGTGGGCGGGGGGTGGGGGTGACTGGGTGATGGGCACTGAGGTGGGCACTTGACGGGATGAGCACTGGGTTATATATGTTGACAAATTGAACACCAATAAAAAATAAATTTATAAAAAAACAAAAGCAACTTCTCAGCACATCAGCTGTATATGTGCATATAATTAATATATATATTATATATAAAAATATTTCACATATATGATACATGAATTGATGAATAAAATCAGCACGCACACACACATTTACACACACAATATATATGCATATATATTTGGGATCTGGCCAAGTGGCCTGAGGAAGCCACCCTTTCCTCATCTAGTCAGCCATCTACTTGACATTTGTTAAGTTTTGCTCCATGTGGCACTTACAACATGAGGCTGGTACTTGGGGCACAGCTGTTCTTAGAATCTATGACTTCTTGTGTGCCTTTCCTGTTTCTCAGCAGCACTGGCATGGGGCCGGGGGTAACAGGTCTTGATATCTCAGAGACCCTTAGCACTTTGAGACATCTGTGTTCCCAGGCTCTGGTGTGTTTTTGTCATGCCAGAAAGATGTTTCATGCTTTGCTGACTTTGTATAGAGTCTTTCTGTATCTGTTTTGACAGAACTCCAGTAAAAACCCATGGGTGCAGACATTGGCCAAGCTGCAATATAGGGGCACAAATCAGCCATACAAAGTGTTATAAAATCATTAAGCTTGCATTTTTATTACTGTGAATAATAGTCACCCTCCCATTACCATCTCCTGCTGTCTACCAGTTTCCTCCTTCACTGTGGACTGCTCTCCATATAATATTCTGCATGAAAAAGAAGCAAGCATTCCATGCAACAAATATACACAATGTTCAGGAATACCCAGGAGCATGCAATTTTCAAAGTTTCCCCCACCTGGAGTGCTCTCCAAGGCTCAAATCCTGTCTGACAATACCAGTATCTCTATCCTGCATCCATCCCTTTGTGGAATTTTTATTGCATTTAACTTCTGTAACCACTTATTTGTCTGCCTGAAATCATTAGTTAAAAATATTAGGTCTACCTAGCTCATTCTTCTCAGTAAACAAAAGATTCACATAAGGCAGTCTATGTCTTTTATGTTTTCATATCTCTCATCATACCTAGCACAATGCTGGGCATATAGTAAATACTCCATAAGAGCTGATAAATGACTAAAACAAACAAATCAGAATAAGAAAGGAGAGGATGATTGCATCATCTCCCTAGCTTGCTACTTTGATGACTGATTAAAAAAAATACATTCTGGGAATTAAAAGTAAGGACTTATTTTTAAGAATGGAACAAAGTAATGGTTTTTGGGTCAATCTCACATTCCAGAAGCCTAAAGTTGGAGACTCTCCTGCTTTGGGACTCAGGGGTGACTACTCCATCTGTGCACATGAGCACAGGGCTTGATTGGTTCCACAGAGAGGTATGAGTGGCATGAGCTACTTATGGAACATCCCTGACTTTTTCTCTTCTTCTTCCCCAGGCTTGTTAGAGTGCTGTGCAAGATGTCTCGTAGGGGCCCCCTTTGCTTCCCTGGTGGCCACTGGATTATGTTTCTTTGGGGTGGCACTGTTCTGTGGCTGTGGACATGAAGCATTAACTGGCACAGAAAAGCTAATTGAGACCTATTTCTCCAAAAACTACCAGGACTATGAGTATCTCATCAATGTGTAAGTACCTGTTATCCTACCCCTATCCTATCCTCTCTTTTTTTCTCTCTCCCTGAAAACATATAGAACTCATTAGTACCTTAGTGATTAGCAGGGGATTAAATGTGGAGCCAGACAGGATTCTTGAGTCTCCCCTCTGTTTGCAGATTTCACTTATGCCCCATCTGAGGTCCTGAATGAGGGGAAAGTGCCAAAATCAGAAAGGGGAGATCTATCTGCCTGCCAGCCCACTTCTCACTGCCTGCCTCCCACTGCACTTACTTAGTACCACATGTTCTAACTTCTGCCCATAGGGTAACATTGACTGAGTTGGAGCCTCTGCAGTGATAGGTACGGAGAATTCAAGGAAGGTACAATGACTAGACAGATTGGGGCTGCTGCTCTTGGTTTGACATACCATTTGAGTCTGCTCAGCCTCCATACTGAGACTTTTGTGTTCCTAGCACATTAGACCCCTATTCCTTCATCCCTCTTCCTCCTGGTCTAGCTTCTTTCTTCTTTCTTCTCTGAGGGAACATCTCTGAGGGGTCAGGCCAAGGAGAATAGGACCTCAGTTCTTTAGGTCACAGGGTAAGCAAGGAGTGGAGGAACCTAGCGATTCCTCTAAAGAATCCCTAGCCTCATTTGGGTGCTCACTCAAGTGTCCACCTTACTTATGCAGGAAGGGAACTGTCCTCAATTAGTATGATTTCCTGATATCTTTTGTTTATCTGTTAATGCAGGATCCATGCCTTCCAGTATGTCATCTATGGAACTGCCTCTTTCTTCTTCCTTTATGGGGCCCTCCTGCTGGCTGAGGGCTTCTACACCACCGGTGCAGTCAGGCAGATCTTTGGCGACTACAAGACCACCATCTGCGGCAAGGGCCTGAGCGCAACGGTAACAGGGGGCCAGAAGGGGAGGGGTTCCAGAGGCCAACATCAAGCTCATTCTTTGGAGCGGGTGTGTCATTGTTTGGGAAAATGGCTAGGACATCCCGACAAGGTGATCATCCTCAGGATTTTGTGGCAATAACAAGGGGTGGGGGACAATTGGGCGTGAGTCTGTGGCCTCATCCCCACCCAAGGCTGGGTCCTCTCTAGGGGCCTGGCTTTTGAGTGAGGAAGTGATGGCTACAGCCGAACGAGAAGGTCAGGAAGAACGTGGTGCCCAGCTGGCTTAGCCTCACCTTTCAAAAGTTCCCTAGAAAATTTCATCTCAAAAAATTAAAAGCATAAGTTTTGTGAACACTTCATAAAATCAGACTATTTCTAAGCCATCTGTTGGTATTCCTTTACTTTTCTCTTAACAAGGACCACAGCAAAATTAGATTTGACCTCCTAAGAGCCTAAATGCTACTCATGGGATTGAAATGCAGGCACCTGATCTGAGAGGGAGGGTAGATCATGGAGATTAAGTAATTCTGCTCCAAGGTGGAATTCACAATATTCTGGGATTCTGCACTGTTGGAGGTCCCAGAGGAAACTAGCATGGATCTACATATTTAATGCTTCATCTTTGTCTGAGGGTTATCCATGCTTCTGGTGAGGCACACATTGCTTTTCAGTCTCTAGAGTTAAGATCTTTTGGGGATTGAATATCTGTGGGTTATGGTGATATTTTTTGTGGCCAGCAGTTGGCTTAGAATGGTTTTGGGATCTGAAATTTAAACCTCCTATTGGCTTTGCTCAGTGACTGTCCCCTATGCCAAGGAACATTTTCTAAGCTCAGCATAAGGCAAGAAATGGCACGACTTTCTTTCAAGATCTGTTTTGATTTCTTTACATCTTATCTGCCCAAAACAAAATCTCCTGAAGCCTCTCTAACCCAGGGATCCTCCTCACTCCAACCCCCACCCATTCCCCCCACCCTCCATCACACTTGGGGCCAGTTTTCTAGTAGATACTGCCAATGACATTTGGCAGTGGTGCCCTAATTACTAATTTCATTTGGTGGAGATCCCTGGAACCTGGTTTCATATCTGGCACACACCACTCCAGGATCTCCCAGTTTGTGTTTCAATGTCTACAGGCCGATGCTGATTTCTAACCACTCCATGTCAATTGTTTTAGTTTGTGGGCATCACCTATGCCTTGACCATTGTGTGGCTCCTGGTGTTTGCCTGCTCTGCTGTGCCTGTGTACATTTACTTCAATACCTGGACCACCTGCCAGTCAATTGCCTTCCCCAGCAAGACTTCTGCCAGTATAGGCAGTCTCTGTGCTGATGCCAGAATGTATGGTGAGTTAGGGTATTGGGGCCTTACCTTCCCTACCTTCTATGAAAGCACTATATATTTGTTTCTTAGGATGACAAGGGTGATAACTATAGAGAAAAATATTATGGATGCTTGGATCTTACTTTGTTAATCCTTCCCCACTGAAATTGGAGAGATTTCTTCCCTTGGTATGGAACTTCTCTTGGAAGTGGTAGGAGTTTTCTTGGCTGTTCACACTGCTCTAGCCTGGTTGAGAAGCAGTACATTTCAATAACAAACACAAGATTACACAACTGTTCAGTTCCTCCTCCTCCTCCTCCTCCACTTCCTCCTCCTCCTCCTCCACTTCCTCCTCCTCCTCCTCCTCTTGCTTCTTCTTCTTTGCAAATCTTTACAAAAGAGGATCCTGATTGTTGGTAGGATCCCACTTTTCAGCCAAGATGATTAAAGATGGAAGAAGGGCTCTCAAAGAAAATCTCCATGGAGCCCACAACTTCTTGAAGCTCACCCTGGTTAACTTGTATGTCTTACTCAGGTGTTCTCCCATGGAATGCTTTCCCTGGCAAAGTGTGTGGCTCCAACCTTCTGTCCATCTGCAAAACAGCTGAGGTGAGTGGGTCATTTGAGTTCTTCTACAATGGAATGGCTAGTACCATACAAAGTCCTACCCATGGCCTTTAATTTTAAAAATCAGAGTTGTTTTTTTATGTGTTTTTATTTTTTGCTGGATTTTGAGCATAGATGTTAAAACATCTATTTTCCCTGGAGCTGCATAGAAAGCCTTCCATTCCAAGACTTCCTTCTTTAAAGGGAAAATTTGTAGGATTAGGTAAAGAAAGAGCTTAATGACAAAATCCCCTAAATGAAAAAAGTTATTCTTTTAGTTAAAAACCTCATCAAGAAAATGATTTGTGTGTAGAAACACTCATAGGTTTTACAAAACACTTTCAGTTTGGAATCTCTCCATGTCTAATGAGAAGCAAAACAAAAAGTACACTTGAAAGAGGAAAATACTATATTTGGGAATGGATGTCATGTACACATGAGGCAGGGGAATAAGAGTAAATCCTGAGGAAGAAGGCAGTAACTTTAAACATTTAAAACTTTAAACTGTGACTTTAAACTTGGGGATCCTGGGTACAACCATAGGGAACCAGTTGATTAGAAATATTTTATGAGTGCTTTATGAGTAGCCTGTGTTCTGGGTGCTATGGGGCTAGGTGCTGTGACATACAGGAGCAGGAGGCCTACACTCAGGGAAGTGACAGTTTAAAGAGGCAGAATTAACACAGAAAGATATCAACACATTGAGAAAGCTGCATGCATGATCTATAGCAGAGCATATTTTTGCAGTTGCAAGAAACTCTTCTCCCTATTGCATTTTTTTTTACAGTTCCAAATGACGTTCCACCTGTTTATTGCTGCATTTGTGGGGGCTGCAGCCACACTGGTTTCCCTGGTGAGTTGTCTCAATGATATTGGCAAATAAATGGTCCTGGGATAGCTTGGGTACAGCTATGCTGAAAAGCAAAAAGAAAGATTCCTAACCTTGCTGTGCTGGAGAGAAGCACCTGGGAAGAGACAACAAAATGTAGACTGTGAACTGCTACTTTGGGTTGGCAAGGCAGAAAAACTTCAGGAATTAGACAGTAACAAGAAAAGTAGTGTGAAAAAAGAGAAGGTGAGAGATTAATAGTCAGACATGAGAATACTTAGCATTTGCAGAGCATGTAATATTGCCAAGTGCTTTGCAGTCATAAATTGCGGTTAATTCTCAACACATCCTGGCCAGATGAGTGACGGGAACAACGAAACATGACTAAATGTGATTTGCCAAAGCCTGGAATTCTATATGCTATCAATATGAATCCACCTTGAGCACTCTCCAGGGGATTTACTTACTCTCCTAGAACACTAGGAGGACCTTCTAGCATTATTAGAACTGTTATCACTACAAGTGATGCTATGCTCCAGGTCCTGCTGACCCATGTTACAGTGCAGTCAGTGGGGGGTACATTCATTGTTCAGATTAAAGACCTAGGGCACTGAAGGGTGAAGGAATTTATCTGTAGTCATTAAATCAGTAGTGATAAGGATAAGCTCGCAGAACTCATGGCCCCTACTGCTGAGGCATTTATACAAACTTGAGCTGTTCTTCATTCAGTAAAATAAATTGATGCATTCAGCAGAGAGGGCTGTGATGCACATTGTGGCTGTGTGTCTGCAGCAAGCAGCTTGTGGATAACTCAGGTCACTCAGACATGTGGATAGGATGATGGCAGAGCCCATGCATTGATCACTTTCCTGAGAAAACCCAGTGCCAGGCTTAGCATGAGAATGGGATAAATCCTTGTCAGGTTGATTCTCTGGGTCTGAGACATTAGAAGGAAATGTCTCAGAGGGGACTTCTAGTCAAATATGTAGGGTGAAAACCTGGGACATGTTGCTTTTTGCAGATCAGGGGTTTTACCTTTCTTTAACTGATTTTATTTCTACCCTTCCTCATTCCCAAAAGCTTTGGAGGAGGGAGAGCTTTCTTTTCTACTCTCACTCATATTTCTCTTCTGTTTCTACAGCTCACCTTCATGATTGCTGCCACTTACAACTTTGCCGTCCTTAAACTCATGGGCCGAGGCACCAAGTTCTGATCTCCTGTAGAAATTTCCCTTTCTCTAATAGCGAGGCTCTAACCGCACAGCCTGCAATGCTGCATCTCCCATGTTAACTCTTTGCCTTTGCCACTGATTGGCCCTCTTCTTACTTGACGAGTGTAACAAGAAAGGAGAGTCTTGTGGTGATTAATGTCTCTCTGTGGACTCTCCCCTCTTACATACCTCTTTTAGTCATTTTGCTTCACAGCTGGTTCCTGCTAGAAATGGGAAATGCTTCAGATGGTGACTCCCCAGCTGCAAGTCACAAAGGAATGGAGGCTCTAATTCAATTTTCAAGCATCTCCTGAGGACCAGGAAGTGTTTTCTCCTCAAAGGGCACTTCCACTGATGGAAACAAAGTGGAAAGAAAGATGCTCAGGTAGAGAGAAGGGATGTATCTGGTCCCCTTGACATCTGTTGGGGCCAAATATATACTCCTTAGTGTACAAAACAGAAAACCTACTCCTTTTTCCCTATTACCACTGAAGATAGAAGAAGAAAAAAAGAATGCTAACAAAACAATAAGAGCATTTGCCCAAATCTACCTATTGCAGCTGGGAGAAGGGGGTCAAAGCAAGGATCTTTCACGCATAGAAAGAGAGCACTGACCCTGATGGTGATGGACTATTTAAGCCCTAACTCAGCCTACTTTATAGCATAAGGGATCGTAGTGTCTGTGTAGACCAAGGGGGCAGCTGGCCTTACACCTTATTAAAGAAGAGAAGCAGGGTATTGTCAGCATCTTCTCACTCCCTTCTCCTTGATAACAGCTACCATGACAACCCTGTGGTTTCCAAGGAGCTTAGAATGGAGAGAAATTAGCTCATATGAAAAAAAGACTGGCCTAAGGAACAGCAGTTGTTAGTTGCTAATGGTGTAAACTGACCCAGCCCTCTGGTAGACACAGGATAGATAACTCTTTGGATAGCATGTCTTTTTTCTGTTAATTAGTTGTATACTCTGGCCTCTGTCATATCTTCACAATGGTGCTCTTTTCATGGGGTATTAGCCATTCAGTTACAGAAGATGATTTGAAGATCTTGATTTGTTTCAGAACGATGCATATTTCACATTTTCCGGTTTGCTTATCACTTGTTTGGGGTTGTACCAGAAGGGTCTAGAGAATGATTCTTTGATTATGATTCTCTAACAAAGGAATATTGAACGTTAAACATTGCAAATAACATTTAAAATTGGCTAGTTCCATACATCTACTAGATTTTCTCCAAATTATTCTGCTCTTTGAAGAAACAGAATTGATGAATTTGAACCTCAATTGGAATAACCTATTTGATTGATCTTTTTAAGCTAGTGGGGGGTGATTTGATTTAGCAGTGTTAACTTGGTGTGTTAAAGTCAGATTTAACATACAGGTTATTCTTAGTATAGACCACATAACGGAATGCCCCAGCCATCAGCTATTCAGTTGGTAAGCTTCCATGGAAATGGAAAGGTGGAAAGAGTTGGAAACCTGAATAATTCCCAGGTTTAAGACTTTTCTTTCTGCATTTGTTAGCTTTGGGTTAAAAAAGAAGAGGCTGATTGGTCTTTATTGAAAGGAAGATTTTACGGATATGACTGTAGGTGTGACTCTTTTGTTGTAAAGAGTTGTTTTGTTTCTTATCCCCCCAAAGTGGTTTCAGCAGTATTTAAGGAGATGTAAGATATTTACAAAAAGGTACTTAATATTTGTTTTTAGACCAATATACAAGATAAGCTTCCAGAATATATAGAGGGAGGAGATGGAAAAGGATCTGTAAGAAACCAATCAAGATCAAGGAAAGTGGAATAATCCATATCTTGTGTTTTGTTTTGATTTAATAACATAACAAATAACCGACCCTTCCCTGAAAACCTCCCATGCATACATACACACATATACACACACAAGGAGAGTTAACTGAAAGTGTTTCCTTCATTTCTGATATAGAATTTCAATTTTAACACACATAAAGGATAAACTTTTAGGAACTTATCTTACAAAATGAATTTTATAAAATTAAAGAAAAATAAAATTAAGAATGTTCTCAAACATCGTGTCCTTTGAGTGAATTGTTTTGTTTAACCCCACAATAAAAACTCAAATAATTAGACCTTTATTGTGCTTTGTTCAAGGAGCTTATTTATGTTTCAGGTCATCCATCATTTTCACAATTTTCTGAGAAAAAGAATAGATAAATCACTTCTATTTTTTTATAGCTTAGAACACCAAGAAATAGTCACAGTAAATTACTCAAGAAAATAAGCACATACCTGAGCTTAGGCTGGAACTCAGGTGGGTTCTTTTGTTCATTTTTGTTTGTTTGTTTGTTTGTTTGTTTGTTTGTTTTTTGGTAGAACTCAGGTCTTAGTACCTGGGAACTTCTACTCAAGTATATATAGCAAATGCCTATATGCCTGGACATGCCTGTTTTAAGGTTTCTTTTCTCTTAGAAGTTGGGTTTCAGAGTGTTCTGCTCATTCAGACTCAAATATAGTTACTTTAATATGATAATGGAACCCCAGTCCTGGTGTGTTGAGCATTAAGTTATTGCTACCTTCTCTTTCAATTGTTTGGATATTCCATTAATGAGCCCTTAGTGCTTCATACATAAATAATACTTAGTTTTATCTGAAAAGTACTGGATGAGAGGCTTGAGGTAGGGGCAGAGTAGATATGGTAAGGACAACGTAAATTTACACATTCAGCAGCAGAGGCAGTATTGAAGTAAGTTAGTGATATCTGTTACCTTGGATGGCCAGCCTACTAGCCCACTTAGGACACCGCATTTACTCCCTTTTTAAGCCCTAAGCTAGAATATCACACTCTTGGACAGCATTCTACTGACAAACTCAAAGAAAGCTGCCTTAAAATTAGTAATAGAGTTGTTATCACATAGTTGCAGCTGGCAAGGGGCGTGATTGTAGAGAAAGGAGACTAGCTGGGGGCAACAAGTCAGTTGTCAGTTAAGGAGCTCTGTTGAAAAGTAGTTTCAGTTTAATCTCATGCTTTCTGCTTCAGCACAATTAATATTCTGCAAGCAAGTCTGGTTGGATGACTTTAAGACAAAAAGCATGAAAATATGACAAGGACTTATTTTTAGACACTGGCAAACAAGGCTACAGCACCATATTTTGGAGAATTGATTCAGGGTACTATAGAGTGAATATATTTTTGCTTCAGAGCAGCAGAAAGCCAGTTCCCAAGAAAGCCATGTTCTCCATCTGCCCTTATTTGGCTCTGCCCTCTGGGACCGATCTACAGATGGAGTTTCCAGGCTCTCAGAAGCTGAGTGCATCTCCAGTCTATCAATCGAGCGCATTGTTCTTAGCTCTCCCACATACCATAAACCTCCTTTCTCTGAACTGAAAGAGCTCTCTTTGTGCTTAGATCAGCCAAAGATCAAGACGCAGCAGTATAAACAAGAAACATTTTCTTACAGCATCAGTTGTATTACTTTTCCTATCTTCAGGGTCAGCACTGAGTGCAGTTCTGCAGGATGTGGATGCTGCAGCTTTGGCTAAAGCAACGATTGTTCATTCATTAATTCAATCTACAAACATTTATTGAGCACCTACTAAGCTTTTGCAAAACTCTGGGAATTTTATATTTGGGGGTGGTGTGAGTAGAAAGGTAATAAAGTTATGATCTTACATTCAAGGATCTCATTCAGCCTCAACCACAAAAGAGAGGTCTTCTAGGGTGAAGCAGAGTGGAAGCAGGGAGTATTCAAGAAGCAATCTGACTGGCTGACTGCAGTGGACATCTGAATTCTCCCCTCAGTAAGTGGGAGAGGTGGTGGTTAAGGGCCATGAATTCACGTGGCTCTGGTTTTCTAGGGCCCTGATAAAAACAAAACTTCAATTTAGAGTCCTGACAACTTGTGACTTGCTCCCTCCCTGTCACCCTGCTTCTGACCTTACATGTGATGGTATTTATGCACACACTGTCACAATGCATGCTTCCACCCACTCAGTCATCTGGGGAGTCAGAGAGCACATGGATCTGGATTTATATAAACACAAGCTATTCAGCATGGCTTTTCCTTTTTGCCCAGGATAAGTCTGAGAAGCCATGGAAGAGTAATATAAGATACAAGGTACTTCTTTCTAAATTTTCTTAGTATGAGCACAGATAATGTCTATTTTGACATAAAGAGTTACCTTGATGAAAGTTCAATAACAAATGGAAGAAATATTCATTATTACATTAAAGATTAATACTTTGCCCTTTCCTACATCAATAAACAGATAAGGAATTCAAGGCAGTATCTATAAGCTGAGATAATTTTCCTTGTTCACTTTGAAACAAGCAACCATGCTCTTCATAATATTTATTGTCCTCCAAAGTTTGGTGTTTGTGTGTTCTTGCTCTGGTACCCTTTGAATTGATCTACTTTATTACAAAGGAAAGAAAAATAAGATAAAGAAATTAATATTTTCCAGATTATGAAATAACTAAAATATATACAACGTTAGCATTTTATTCAAACCTTCAACAAATATCTATTTAACAAATTTTCTGTCCCAACTATTATGCTAGGTGCTAGTAATACAACAGTGAATAAAATGAGTAGTCTTTGGCCTCATAGAACTCAACTTAAAGACAAAAGGGTTAGAGAGGGAAATAGGATTTGTGGTAAAGAATGAGACTAACATTCTTTGACAAAAAGTGGAAAAGATAGAATCAGGGAGAAACTTGTACAGTCCTCTTAGAAACAAAGGGCCAAGTAAAAGAAGTGTAGGTATGCAAGTCTGCATCTAGAGAAAGAGGGATGACAATATTTAAGGTCAAAAAATGTTACATGGCCTTGTACTCTTTTGCTGACCAGTATGGACAGTAAGCCAGCTCTGGGCTCCAAAGAACTAACTTCATGGATACTACATGTGTTATGTGAAACCCTGGCTTTCAAACATGAAAAGGGAAAATCACAAAGCTGGATTCTGAGGGTTACAATATTAAAACTGAACAAATCAGCTGATAATTGGAAATTTGTAGATGGCTCTAATTCTATTTGATGACTTGAGATAACATGTAGAATAGCTTTAAAAAAAGAAGGGAAATATGGCTCTTGCAATCAAAGCTCCCTTCCATGACCTCAAATGTACCAGATAAGAATTTGCAAAAATCTCATTTAAAATCTTATATCAGTCCTCATAAACAAAAAATACGTCTGAATGGAAACATAAGCATTCTCCTATATGCAGATGATATTATTATCACAAGCTAGGAGTGGATTTAGTAAACAAATGGCTCAGCTAATTATTGTTGGAAAGAAAGCCTACATACCAATTTTCCTAAAATCAGATTTACATTTTCAGTATGTATTTCCAACTTCTTGTTGGTGAATAATGTAAATACTTCTATGGAGCAAGTACCACAGGATATATTCTGCAATTAGTTTTTATATGGGTGGACACACAAGTAAATTACATTTCTCAAGGCCAGGTGGTTTATGGGTGTTTAATGAACGTACGTGTGTGTGTGTGTGTGTGTGTGTGTTGTTGTTGTTGTTGTTTGTTTGGATTTAATAGCTCAGGTTGTTACAATTTTTTTAATGAAAATTTTAAAAATTTATTTGAGAGAGAGAGTGAGTGAGAGAGAGAGCAAGAAAGAGTGCACAAGCAGGGAGAGTGGCAGGCAGAGGGAGAGGGAGAAGCAGGCTCCCCACTAAGCAGGGAGTCTGATGCGAGACTCAATCCCAGGACCCTGGATCATTACCTGAGTTAAAGGCAGATCCCTAACCAACTGAACCACCCAGGTGCCCTGTTACTACCACTTAAAAATATTTCTAGGTTAAAATGTTTTAAAATGTCATGCTTTTGACATTGAGGGTTGACAGTTTATTTATTTTAGTGGTAAAGAAGACCCAGAATAACTGAAAAAAATCTTGGCCCAGTCCACAAGCAGCCATACCTCCAACAGTCATAGTGATACTTTATTGAACTCTCCACAAAGTACAGTACTTTTGACATCTTATCTCACTGAATCCTTATATCAGTCCTCAGCTCCAGACTAGAGCATGCGCCATTATTGGTCACATCAGTTTAAGTTTGAGGCTGTCAATCTTACCCCACTTCAATTGGCTGCTAAGCTGCAGAGATGAGCTACATCCAGGTGCTTGTCTGGGATGAGAAGCTCAGTCATTGTAGCTCAGTCCCCACCAGAAATGCCACTGAGAGAAGCAGTAGTTCCAAAGGATAACCTAAAGGGGGTATAGCCTATTCATTTCCTAATTATTTC